GCGAAGGTCGTCCCGGGCACGACTGTTGGATACGGCGTCATCTAGTTCAACAGGGGTCTGCTGCTAGGGGGACATGTGGTGGCACACCTCTGGTCGCGCTGTGAGCACGATGAATGAGGACTGCGACTAAGATGTAATGCTGCCAGCCAGGCGCCGCCCGCTCCACCTCCACGCCCTTCGCCGCCTGCTCCGCGCGCCACGCCTCCACCTGGAGACAAGTCCGCCGAGTGCGCTCAGACGGCGTCGAGATCCGCCGAGGCTGCGCCGAGGTTGCGCCGAGGCTGCGCCTTGAGCGCGTTCTTGTTGTTCATTCCGACGCCGCAGTTCATCATGCCCACCGCGCGGGCAGGCGTGCCCTACCGATGGACCAGCTGAAGGATGGGCGCAGCTCAACTGATGACGACCGCGCGGGCCGGCGTGCCCTGGGGCGGAGAGGGCGGTGTGGGGTGTGGTGGAAAAAGCGGTGAGGGCGGGTGGTGGTGTGGGCGGCGGTGGCGGCGGCGGCGGCGGCGGTTGGCGGCGGCGGCGGCGGCGGCGGCGGCGGCGGCGGCGGCGGTGGCGGGCGGCGGCGGCGAGATGTGTGGCGATGTCGGTGCCGAGATGCTCGAGCGCCTGGGCGGCGAGGGTACGCGCGAGCTCGAGGGCGATGAGCGAGCCGAAGGAGTGGCCGATGATGACAGGGGCCTCACCTCCCAGCCTCTCTCGCACAAAGGCGGCGCACTGCTCGCGCCAGAGGTCGATGGAGTACTCGACGACCGGCTGAGCGCTCGCGCCGAGGCCCAAGAGGTCGATTCCGTAGACAGTGTGTGTCGCTGCGAGCGCCGGGACGGTGCTCCGCCAGCAGTTGTACGCCGAGCCGGCGAAACCGTGCAGCAGCACAACGGGAGGACCGGAGCCAGCGACGTAGTAGGCGCAGTCGCTTCCACGGAAGTTGAATCGCGAGGCGGCGGGGAAGGTAGGGGTGGGAGGCGATGCGGTGGAGAGACTCAGGGAGAGCGACAGAATCGGCAACATGGTTCCTAGTACACAGAGCCGACAGAGCCGCTTGCGGCACCTTGCCAAAAAACAAATTGCTAGCCCTGGTTTTCCCGATCATTTCGTCCGTCCAAAGGAAGCGCCGGATCGCCCATCTTATGGCGTTTGCCTAACTTGAGGTGAGGTTACCTTCTTCTGCTCAATTTCCGTGGTTTTTGCACGGTATTCGGATTTTCGCTATTTGGTCGTGTGGGTGTGAATCCCGGGATTAGTCAATGGTACCGCGTCGGCGACGCGGGCGCCTTGCGGGCAAAGCCCTTAGCCACCCTTTATCTTGCGCGGTCAAAAGAATTTCGTCGGCACGAAACAATGACAAGACCAAGGCACGGGCAGAGAGAAGAACATAGGATGGATAGGGCGCCTGTTCACGGCATGGAGGATGAGCCACGCCGAACGAACGGAGTCCGGAAGACGAATCGATGACGACGACACACGCCACTAGCAATCCCGTGTCGCCAGCTGTCACGATGCACCCGAAGGGGACCCCAGCGGCCAGCGCCAACATCATCTGTGGAGGTAGAAGTGTTCGAAAAACGAGAGTGGGCCTGAGCAACGACATGAACTTGGCGGCAAATGATCCGGAGTGGGTGTCAGAAGAGTCGTCCTTGTGCGAGGAGAGCTTTTGATAAAACTCGAGGGGCCAAAATACGCCGCGAGGAGGGCGGAGTTGCGCCGAGAGGCGGGAGAAGCCGCGAGAGCAAGGGCTGAGCCCTGGCCTCGACACCTCGACACCAAACCTCGACACCAACTCGACACCTCGACACCCCATACCAACTCGACCAACTCGACACCCCTCGACACCCCTCGACACCCCTCGACACCATCTAGGCTGACACCATGCTCGTCCGTGTCAAGGTGCCAAACTCGACACCTCGACACCGCTCGACACCCCTCGACACCGCTCGACACCGCTCGACACCGCTCGACACCGCTCGACACCGCTCGACACCACCTCGACACCACCTCGACATCTCTGATGATCCTAACACAGCAGGGCGGTGTCCGGTGTGGAGTCCCCTTCTGATCCCGCCTGAGATGTTGGGTGCGAGGTCGTGGAAGCTTTGATCCCACGGGGGGGAGCTGATCCCACTCGTAACCAACTCTCAGGGGCAGTAGGTGGGCGAGCTTCAGGCGCGCCCATCTCGATCGTCAAGGCGTCGCTACGCGCGGTCTTCCGCGGGGGGAGCTTCGTCGACGGGTGCGGGAGCGCGGCGCAGTCAGTGCCGCGGCGAGGCCTCCGGCTGTTTGCGGCGGGCGGCTTGCTGCTCGCTGCATGGCGAAAAACTCGTCTCGCCACACACCAAGGGCGTATGCTCTGGCGAGACGTGAGGCGCATGCGCCCAGGAGGGGAGGGGGCATGCGTAACGACACTGCTAGAGATGCCTTTCGGGGC